CGACAGACCTCTAGAAATGAAAGTATCACTTTTGATGATGAGGATACAGAAAGGAGTGATCACCCCCCACAACGAATGCACTGGTAATATCTTTACTTGTACTATGACACTAATGTAAATACGTAGTTTTGATGACCAGGAAGTTCCGTAATAATTATATACTCTAAGGGGTAATTAACGTAATATCTAGCTGAAGACAAAATGATTTACGGAAGGCGCATACCTTTGTGGTTCGTACTAATTCAAGTGTAGTAACAAAATAAGATGGTTTCTAACAACTTTGCTGCAGGTATTGTAAATAGTACAAATCAGATAGTAGATATGGAATGCTATAAATATGATCTATGGACTTGGATCCGAGTATTGTGTTGTTCCAATCAACCTTCACATTCAAGTTATTTAAATTCCCATCTCCATGGGAAATATTGCCAAATCAGAGGTGATCAACAAAACATCTAGGACAGTCAATTCCAGTTGCAGATTCAATTGTTAATGGTTGGAGACAAATAGCAATTACAGAATTTAGGTGAGGGTAACATGGAAACAACTCACCTGAGCAAAAGCAACAGATCTGGATTCAGACCTGATACATTTCAAGAACCGGAGGGAATGATTAACATCAAAACAACGATAGAAAAGCTAGAGGCCGTGTGTTATTTATTACATTGGCCCGAGAGAAAAGTGCTACAGTAGGATGAATCTTACCCGGAGGTAAAACGTAAGTTAATTGAATTTTAAAAAGCTAATGCAGACTGTTTTGCTTGGTCCCATACAGACAATGACAGGTATACCACCGGAAGGTTGATGACTCATAAACATAATAAGAAGATCATCATATTCCTCCCGTCAGCAAAGAAAAGAAAACAAGGAACTTTAAAAATAAGGTGATTCAAGAGAAAAGTTCAAAAGTTGTAAAAATCTGGTTCAATTCGTGAGGTTAAAATATCCTAACTGAGGTTGCTAATACTGTTGTTGTTCCTAGAAGAACGTAAGTGGCGAGTCTCTGTGATACACAACCGAGTCTCTGTAGACTACACAGACCTTAATTAAAGCCTGTCCAAAAGATTCCTTTCCTTTGCTCCACATAGATCAGTAATTGATGTTACTTGGCAGGGCATGAACTATTAAGTATTTTAGATGCATATTCAGGCTTATATCAAATCAAGATGGATCCAGGTGATGAAGAAAAAAACTTCTTGTTATAGACAGCACAGGGGGACTTATTGTTTATAAGGTAATGCCCTTCGGTCTTAAAAGAATGCAGGTGCAACGTATCAAAGGTCGGTCACCCAAATGTTTCAAGAACATTTAGGTAAAAACCATGGAAGTATATATAGATGATATGCTAGTTAAAACTCAACATTCAGAAGATCATATACCGCACCTATCTGATACGTTTAAATTTTTACGAAAATATAATATGAAGTTTGAATCCAGAAAAATGTGCATTTGGAGTGGTATCAGGAAATTTTTTAGGTTTTCTTGTTTCTAACCGTGGAATTGAAGTGAATCCTGCACAGATTAAGGGCCATTGAAGAAATTCCAGATGTACTTACGACGGTAAAAAGAAGTTCAAAGACTAACTGGGAGAATTGCAGCTCTGGGGAGATTCATTTCCAAGTCTTCAGAAAAATGCTTCAAATTTTTCTCAGCTTTAAAGAAACAGGATCATTTTGAATGGAACGAAGATTGTCAGCAAGCACTTAAGAATCTGAAAGTATATTTGTCAAATCCATCGTTGTTGGCGAAACCAAAGGTAGGAGAGAAGTTACTCATCTATCTTGCCGTGTCAGAAAGTTGCGGTAAGTGTTGTTTTAGTCCGGAGGATCAAGGTAAGCAATCTCCTATCTATTATGTAGCAAGTCTTTGCTAGATGCAGAAACACGGTACCCGCAACTAGAAAAAGTTAGCGCTTGCTTTGATTATGGCATCAAGAAAATTAAGACCTTACTTTCAATGTCATCCCATTGCTGTGGTTTATGCTTTTCCATACGAAACATTCTATACAGTACATTAAACGATGATTTATCAGGCTAGAATGAATCAAGAAATGGCCAAGATTAAGTATCGGCACGCATTCAGCTTATCACCCTAGCTGCATTGCCTACTTAGAATCCCTACTTAGTGCCTGATTCCGTATACAGCTGATTTCACTCTCTCTTCTGTTTGGCCACCGTACCTTATCTCCCATGCTCCTCAAAACAGCTACGAGCTCGGAGGTAGCGACATTGAAATTATATCCACCAAATCTTGCCTTCAAACTTCCATCATCATCTCATGACCCGCGTGTGTTTCGATCATTCCCAAACCTTGATGAGGAGCCTGATTCCCTGTTCCTAGGTCTGTGATCGTACCTTTGATTATCTTGTCTTGACCGTGAGTCCTTTCCCGCAGGTCCCATGTATGGCTCGTACCTGTTTTTACCGGATCTCTTTTCATTTTCCACACGCCTTGAGCTTACCTTTTCTTCTGTTTTATGTCGTAAAATAATGTCTTCTTCAATCCTCATCTTTGTGCTGTATCTGTTGTAGACATCATTCCACGTTGTTGCTGGGAATTCACGAAGGCTTTCTTTGAGTCGCCTCGTGGCTTCTGAACTCTTCTCATTTAAATTACTAGCAAAGGCTATGGCTGCCCAATTGTCAGGTACTCGTGGTAGCGTCATTCTTTCCCGTTGAAATCTATCTACGAACTCTCTAAGCAACTCTGAGTCTCCTTGCTTGATTTTGAAGATATCTTCCATTCGTTTTTCAACTTTTTGAGCTCCCGAGTGTGCTTTGATAAATAAATCTGCAAGCTCAGCAAACGAATTTATAGAATTTTCAGGTAAAAGAGAATACCATGTTAGGGCTCCTTTAGTGAGTGTTTCACCGAATTTTTTGACCAAGACCGACTCAATTTCTTGCTTAGTCAAATTATTGCCCTTGACACCTGTTGTGAATGCAGTAACGTGATCTCGGTGGGTCTGATGTACCATCATACTTTGGAATATCAGGCATCTTAAACTTCTTTGGAATTGGAAGGGGAGCAACACTTGGCTTCCATGGTTGTTGGGAATATTTATCTATATCCACACCCTTGATCACGGGCGGTACTCCAGGTATTTGCTCTATGCGTTCATTTTGCTCCTTGAGCTGTTTCTGCAAGGTTAGTACTAGACTTTGTAAATCAGAATTAACTGGATTACCTGGGTCTCTCTTGTGTTTCACTAGGGGTTCCACCGCTGCCAGAATTAATCAATCCTGAACGAGGATTCTCCAAAGTGTTGTTGTTTGGAGCAGATGTGGGTGGGACAGCAGGCAATTGACGAACAAAAGCTTGGAGAGCGTTATTGACTTGAGAGGCAATAAGTTTTTGCAGAGCCTCATTCATGGTTTCAACGTTTTCGGATTGAGCCTGTCCATCTGTATAAGATCCATCAGGAGTGCCTTCACGAGATCGTCGTGGGGAGCCTCGTGGAGAACCTTGTGGAGAGCCTTGGGGGGACTCTCCCTGAAGTTCTTGAACTGTCTGAATTTCTGGGTTTCCTTGAGTGTTGTCATTGTTGTTCGACATGATTGATGCAATCAAGAAAATTAGATTGAGATATGCTTGATTATCAGATTCCCGGTAACGGAACCAATTTGTTTAACCAAAAAATAGAATTTCGGTTAAAACTAGAAATTAAGAGAAAAAATCGGGTCACTGATAATCAGGAGACGAAAAGAATAAGAAATTTTTGAGGATAATAAAGCAGCAAATAAGTTTGTATTTCAATGTAATCTTAATGATATTTCGTGTCCTTACAAATGCTGAGATCTCCTCCTTTTATAGTTGATTTTTCTAGGAAAAGGTATAATGCCTTAGCCTTAAAGAGGCAATTATGAGCATTAAATGACATTAAATGAAACGTTACACAATCATTCCTATTCAATGCTGATTCGCTAACGTATTTGACATTTAATACTGAATTTAGACTCCTTTATGCTATCAGATTCATATCTTCAATTCCTTCTGACCTCCTGGCTTTAATTAAGTTAAATGGATACGAGACTCGTATCATTTGAATAGCATCTCGTGCCTATTTAACTTTCTTCTCCTCGTATCTGATATCGCCCGTGCCTCTTAACTGATCATCATGTTTTGACCATTTGACCAGTCCACGTGTCATGCCACGTCACCTTCAATATAAATTCAGTTTTTTCCCAATACAAAAAGGATAAGCGATCGCTGCAAATATAATCCGGTCTAAGAGTGCGGAATCGAATCCCACAGAGAACTAAGGTTTAGCTACAATTGTTCATTGTCACTAAAAAGACAAGCTCGAACAATTTTTAAGTTATAAATATTAAGATTCTTATGTCTAACCAATTAACTAACAAATTAAAGTAGTAAATTAACAACTAGGGATACTAAGGGTTGGAGACAAAATTAAGGAGGCCTAGAGTTATAATTTTCCCAAATATCGGAATCATTCCCGCTACATCTCCTGTAATTTCTCCTATGTATTCTCTACTAATCGTAAGCACTTCATGTGTCGTAATTCTCTTTCGAGCAACTACTACAATTTTACTAGACATATTCTCTCGAACTACACTAGTTGGCTTTATCTTACCGCTCAATATGACCACATCAACGCTTTATTATTCCTAAACTCACCTTTAAACCCGTTGTATTGATTTCTCACATACATTAGGAGTAACGTTGTTCAACAACTACCTAAATATATACCCTTTATCAAGCAATACATAATAAATAGGAACAATCAATCGATATTCAATCAACTAAACTAAGCACCTAGTTAAACAAATATAGATCCAAATGCTAAATTATATTAAAACTTAACATGAATTAACTAAACTTTTGGAATGGCTGAAGGACGTTTTTGCCAAGTTATTCCCCCTCCCCCCCTACCCCCC